CCGTAGCTGACATTAATGCAGCAGCCAATGTAGAAGCAGCAGCAGCACCGCTGGCAGCAGCAGCAGCAGCACTAGCAAGTGCTGTTGCTGCTGCTGCGCCCCCGACGGGTGCTTGTGCCCCTGGATCCAGCAGCAGCAACTTTCCTGATAGTGCTGAGCAGGCGTGAGGCGCATGCAATGCAGCAGCAGCAGTGCAGCAGCAGCGCAGCAGCAGCAGCAGTGCAGCAGCAGCAAAGCAGTGGCAGTGCAGCAGCAGCAGTGCAGCAGCAGTGCAGCAACGCCTTGGTGCAGTAGCAGTGCAGCAGCAGCGCAGCAGCGCCTTGCCGCGCCGCTGCAGCAGCAGTGCAGCAGCAATGCAGCAGCGCGCTGCTGCGCTGCTGCAGCTGCTGCAGCTGCTGCAGCAGCAACTACAGGCAAGAGACATGTGTAGGGCATGTGGAAACGTCAGTGTACCGCTGGGGCCCTTCTTTTATATTTTGCCCTTTTGTGATTTCTTTTTCTTTTCTTTTCCTTTTCTTTTATTTTCTTTTTATTTTCTTTTATTTTACTTTCTTTTTATTTCCTTTTTATTTTATTCTCTTTTTCCGGAAGTCCCGTAGTGTCTAGAACCCCTTCAGGTGTACAGACACCCCACGCCCGCAGCTGCCCAGACACCCAGCTCCTCTGCGGTGTACGTACACCTCAAGTTAGACCCCACACGAGCTCCTGCAGAGCTTTATAAAGTCGGGGGCCCCTTCAGCAGCAAGGGGGCCCCCTAGCACTTAGCAGCAGCAGCAGCAGCAGCAGCAGCAGGGCCGAAGAGCTCCACGAGGACCTCCGGCTAGCTGCTGCAAGTGGCAGCAGCAGCTGCTGCTAGGGAGGCTTGCAGCCCCCGCTGCTGCAGCTGCTGCTTTGGGGCTTGCTGGCGGCTAAGCCTTTAAGTGCAGCGCAGCAGCAGCAGCAGCAGCAGGCGGCCCGAGGTAGCTGCACACAGCTGCAGGGCCGCAGCTGCAGCTAGCTGCGTGAAGCTGCAGGCGGCTGCAAGCAGCTGCAGCTAGCTGTAAGTAGCCACAGCTGGCTGTAAGCAGCTAGCTGTAGCTGTAAGTAGCTAGCTACAGCTAGCTGCAAGTAGCTAGCTACAGCTAGCCGTAAGTAGCTAGCTGTAGCTGTAAGCAGCTAGCTACAGTTGGCTGTAAGTAGCTAGCTACAGCTAGTTGTAAGTAGCTAGCTGTAGCTGTAAGTAGCTAGCTACACCTAGCTGCAAGTAGCTGGCTACAGCTAGCTGCAAGTAGCTAGCTATAGCTAGCTGCAGCTAGCTGCAAGTAGCTAGCTACAGCTAGCTGTAGTAAATAGCTGCAGGCAGGGGGAAGTGCAGTGGGTGCAGCAAGCCCTACTTGGTCGGCCGCAGCTAGCTGTAATTAGCTAGCTGCAGCTAGCTGTAAGTAGGTGCGGCTAGCTGCAGCTAGCTATAGGTGGCTACAGCTACCTGCAGCTAGCTAGCTGCAGCTAGCTGTAGCTAGCCAGCTGCAGCTAGCCAGCTGCAGCTAGCCAGCTGCAGCTAGCCAGCTGCAGCTAGCTGTGAGTGGGTGCAGCTAGCTGCAACTAGCTAGCCGCAGCCAGCCATAGCTAGCCAGCTGCAGCCAGCCATAGCTAGCCAGCTGCAGCCAGCTATAGCTAGCCAGCTGCTGCTAGCTAGCTGCAGCTAGCTAGCTGCAGCTAGCTGCAGCTAGCTGCAGCTAGCTGTGTGCAGCGCTAGCTGGGGCCTAGTCCCACTCGGGCTTGAGGCCCTTCACATAATCCCCATATTGGAAAGGCATTGGGGCCTCTAGTTCAGGCTTTTGCTGCTGCTGCTGCTGCTGCGGCAGCAACAGCCAGCAGCAGCTACCTCCCCGGGGCCAGCAGCTGGCTAGGGGCCCCTCCCGGCTGCCCCTCCCCAGGGGTCCCCATGAGGCCCCAAAACGGAGCAGCAGCACGAGCAGCAGCAGCAGCAGCAGCAAGAGCAGCAGCAGCAGCAGCAGCAGCGCTAGGTCTACCAGCTAGGGGCCCACACGCCCGAAGGGGGCCCCAGCCAGGGGCCCCCTGGAGGCATGCGAGCTTCCATGGCCTCATCAGCAGCAGCAGCAGCAGCAGCAGCTGGGGGGTGGCCTCGCGGGCCCGGGGAGTGTAGATAATGGGATTAATCCTTGCTATATTTGTTAATTTGGTTTTATTTAATTAATATATTTATATAAATGTGCAAGACGAAGCAATAAAGCTGCGAACGGAGCGCGTGGGGCAGCAGCAGCAGCAGCAGCGCAGCGGGAGGCCCCGCCTAGTGCATGCGCGCGGTGTACATACACCTGAGGCCTGTGCAGCCTGCACAGGGGCTCAAAGGCTGTCTTCACTTTTGTTTTTATTTATTTGCTGCACTTAGAAGACATTTCTTCAGACTAAAGCAAATTTATTTTGCTGCTGAGAGGGAGAGCGCCGCCGCCCGCCACGTGTACCATGGGGTTTAGGGTTTAGGGTTTTGGGTTTAGGGTTTAGGGCTGGGGCTAGGGTTTTGGGTTTGCAGCCAGGGTCTCGCTCTCCCTGGCAGCTGCAGATCCTAGGACTGGCGGAACAGGGGCGCAGAGCTGCAGCAGCAGCAGCAGCAGCGGCAGCAGCAGCAGCATGTTCAGCAACGCCTCGCCGTTCGGGGCCTCCAACACAGGCCAGGGCCTCTTCGGGGTGCAGCAGCAGCAGCCTGCTGCTGCTGGGGGCCTCTTTGGTTCTGCTGCTTCCACGCAGCCCGGCAGCAGCAGCTTAGGCACAGGTAAGCAGCCCGCAGGGCAGCTGCAGCAGCAGCAGCTGCTGCTGCTGCAGTCCTTGCTGCAGCAGCAACTGCTGCTGCTGAGGGGGTGGGAGGGCAGTCTGCAGGACTTTGCTGCGGTCGGGGCAGCCGCAGTCACCGTGTGCTGCTGCTGCTCAGCAGCAGCAGCAACAGCAGCAGCAGCAGCAGCAGCAGCGACACGGCCATTCCCTGTGTGTTTGCTTAGGCTGCTGTGCAGCTGACGTTGGTTGCTGCTGCTGCTGTGCTGCTGCTGCTGTGCTGCTGCTGCGTCTCAGGACTGTTCGGGCAGCAGCAGCAGCAGCCAAGCAGCGGGGGCCTTTTCGGAAGCTCCCTGAGCACTGGGGGGGGCCTCTTTGGGCAGCAGCAGCAGCAGCAGCCGCAGCAAGCCACTGGGGGCTTCTTTGGTGCTGCAGCAAACACTAACACTGCAGCAGGAACTGGGGGGGGCCTATTTGGCAGCAACACGGGCTTTGGGCAGCAGCAGCAGCAGCCGCAGCAGGGCGGGCTGTTTGGCAGCACCACTGGCTTCGGGCAGCCGCAGCAGCAGCAGACCACTGGTCTCTTTGGCAGCAGCAACAAGTTCGGGCAGCCGCAGCAGCAGCAAACTGGCGGGCTCTTCGGCAGCACAGCAGCACCTGCAGCAGGAACGGGGCTCTTTGGCAGCAGCAGCAGCAGCGCCTTCGGGCAGCCGCAGCAGCAGCAGGGGGGCCTCTTCGGCAGCAGCAGCACAACGGGCTCCACGGGGCTTTTCGGGCAGCCGCAGCAGCAGCAGCAGACCACTGGTCTCTTTGGCAGCAGCAGCAACACGTCCAGCGGGGGCCTCTTTGGTGTCTCCAGCAGCACAAATGCATGTGAGGCCCCTCTTTTGCTGCTGCTTCTCTTTCATTTTGCTGCTGCTGCTTTCTTTTGCTGCTACCTGAGGCTCTGCTGCTGCCTTTTCTGGTGTTGGCGCTGCTGCCCTTTCTGCTGCTGCTGCACTTTCTGCTGCTGCTGCTGCTTATTTGCTGCTGCTGTTGCCGCTGCTCTGTTTGCTGCTGCTGCTTTGCTTGCTGCTGGTGCTAGTTTATTTGCTTCTGGTGCCGGCATATTTGCTGCAACTGCTGCTGCTTGATTTGTTGCTGCTTCACTTCCTGCTGCTCCCTTCGCTGCTGCTCCACCTGCAGCAGCAGCAGCAGCAGCAGCGGCAGCGCGTTTGCGGCAGTGTGCGTGGGCTGCTCAGTGGGCCAGGCTTCGGGGAGTTCGCCGTTCGGGGTGGCTGCCCTGGGCTCGCAGCAGCAGCAGCAGCAGCAGCAGCAGCAGGAGCAGCAGCTGCTGCAGCAGCCCTTCAGGCCCTACAGCGCCGAAGATGGCTCTGTTATGACCATCTGCCACGGGCCTTTTGAAAGAGTTGCATTAGAAGAAATTCGTTGGAATTATTATCAGCAGCAAGGAAA